CTTCTACTAGGATGGTAGCCAGGCAACTTGGCACAACACAATTGAAAGTGTGGTTCAGTGTCCATACCGCTGGCCTATACCTGTACCACCACACTCCGGTGCAAGGACTGGAGGAAGGAGACCCAGCCAGAAGACTAGATTTTTGCCGTTTCATGATCAATACCGATATGAAAAATCCAAACTTTTTTACAAGAATCCTATGGACAGACGAATCCAAGTTTGATCGCGACGGAATCACAAATTGTCACAATACACATTTTTAGGCCCAAAAAGGTGAAAACCCATGAAAAAAAATTCCAAAAACTCCAAATAAGAAGGTTTTCCCTAAACGTCTGGATGGGAATCATTGACAGACATTTAATTGGGCCTTACTTTTTCCCTGATAATTTAAATGGAGAGACTTCGATAATTTGTTGAGGGATCATTTAGATCTATTGCTGGAAGATGTACCCGTTAGGACATTGTCTAATATGTTTTACCAGCACGATGGCAGTCCAGCGAGGCGGGCCGATTTCTTGGTCAGCACGATGCCCAAGTTAACGTCGTGCGATTTTGCTTATGGGGTTATATAAAAAATTTAGTGTATGAAACGCCCATAAATTCTATACACGAGCTTAGGCAGAGGATAATTGACGCAGCTGGACAATTCAAGGCAACAATAACATCGCGGGTGACAAAAACTGAAGTGCGCAAAAGATTACGAGAATATATTAGAAACCGAGGTCCCTTTTTGAGCAGGACTTGCAATAAAGCTTACGGTATTGAAATAAGTGACATTTAAGTTATTTTACTTAAGAAAATGTACTTTGAGTAAATAAACGTTATTGACTGTTTAATATAAACATGTCTTTATCATTTTCTCTCTAATAATTACGTTAACGTAAAATCAGGTGTAATAAACTCGCACTCTGTTCGCGATTTTCTGCACTGTTGTAGTAGACACCTTAACATTTTAGTTAACATTTGTACCTTTTTAAATAGGTAAGAATACAAGAAAGTAGTTTAAGCATTAAGTGTACAAATTACACTTCGTTCCATACATTTTTTTTACAATGCACCCCATTTAGTAAGTAAAAAGTATTATTTTTAAGTATCTCTTTATCATTTTTGAAACACCATAGTTAATGTAACAGTTACTTCGTGCCCTATTATAATTAAACAATAACTTTGATTCAATAACTACCAGACAAAGCAAAAACAAACAAGAAATAGACAACGTTTTTAGAAAAAAAAATTACGTTGAAAATCGGGACTTTTAACAAAAAACCTAAAATCTTAAATATTTCCGAAAGTACTCATTTTTGGACAGGGTATCACATGACTAAATTTGTTTCAAATGAAGTCTACTTTCACCCCTTAGAAGGAATGTATCGAGTTTCAGGTCACCCTGTATTACAGATTACAAAATTTCAATTTGTATTGCCGGTAAATATTATGTAGTGAATATAACTAGCTAATGATAAAGGTGGACAAGCAATTTCAAATACCTTGGTTATCTTATTTAAACGTAGGTGCCTGTCCGAAATATAACATAAAAACATTTAAAGCTTTTATTATTAAAAAAATATCTTCAATATTATTCTAGTTAGTGAACTAATGAAAACTATAATACTGTATCGATATAAATAACTAATGAACATGTGTAATTATTAGGATCCTAGTAATAAAATTATAATAGATACTGATTCCCGTTAAAATTTTCGCTACCCAACAGGTACGAAAAAGTGATGGGACGACGGGATACGAGAGAACCCTGCCACTTCACGCACACATTTGCGCGTGTGCGGATAGCGTTTTACTGTTTGTAGTAGGGGAAAGGTGCACCAGATCCTTAAAGGAACCTTAAAACCCTTAAAGGAGAATGATGGTAGATTAAAAGATATTCAGCTTAAAG